CAAAGATCAGTTGTTCTGCCCACTTTTGCTTTGGGGTGGCATACGAACCCTGGAAGGTGGACCAGCATGGACTGAAAAAGGGACCGTGCCTCTGCTAGATGATGCTTTAAGTGATCCCTGGAAGATGCTGTCCCTAATCCTGTGTATCTGTTTGTAAAAGAGAGGGGGTGGCTAGAATGAGGCAAACTGGTTGGGAGGATGGGCTCAGATGGGCCTGAATGGGAACCCTCAGAGATTCCTTCTGGAAGTGGGGAAAGTCTTTCCTCTCCCTTATCTTCCCCCTTTCTGCAGGGAATAAGTTCATCCAGCTGGTTGTGAAACAGATGCAGGTTTTAGACTGAGTTCACTCAGGTTGGGACTGGAAGAGAGACACACAGAGTTGAGTAGCTCTTGCCAAGAATCCTATGGCACTGGTGGGCGTTTTCCTCCTAGAAAATTGATGGGGCAGCAGTATTTGTTGCAGTATGTTGAATGCCGTGAATCTCTCTCTATGTTTGTGCGAATAAACCATATATTATGAAGCACCAGCAAGCCTCCAATCATCTCATTCCAAAGAAACAAAACCTGACCACACCTGGAATTCTCATCACTCATAGAACTGGGTTGCATGTAAGATGTAACAATGGACATCTTGGTAAACAAGTGTTTGTTATATTCATGTCCTAGCTTCTCATGCAAACACCCAAAGCACCTTTTCTGTAAACGGTGTCCAACACTTCATCCCCACCTCTAATACTACTTAGGAGCTTAAAGTGCACAAACGATGGGCCTCTCCAAACGACCTTTTTATTGTGCACTCACAATGATTTCTGCTCGTGACGGTATTACAGTGGTTGCTTGCAATCCCACTGTTTGAGTGTTCAGATGTTCAGGCAAACATACTGCCTTGTGCAATCGGTACATGTCCTGTGACTTCCTGCTTAAAGCTCTGTAACTTTATATATATATATATATATATATATATATATATATATATATATATACCACAAATGTTCCAGTATTTTTTGGCTTGCTTTTGCAAGAATTCACTGACACTTGGGGAAGCATCACAGAACTAATAAAGTCGAAGGATGTGTGGACGGTGGATAAATCCACCATCAGTGCACTACTATTGCATCAATGACATGTTGCAAAAAAATAACAATAAAAAACACCTGCAAAAAATAATAATACATGACATTCTGAAGCGGCCTGGTAAGAAGTGAATAGCTATTTTATGAGGTCGTTAGAAAGAGGGTACTGTTTAAATACATCAGTGCTGGCCATAGAACAGAATTCAGATACACTGCTATCTAGGAGCAGCGGAACACCCAAAGGGGGTGTCGACCCTTTCCCTCAAGTGTCTAAGCAGGCAAGCGGCACTGCAGAGGGAAGGAACTGAGCACCTGAGGGAAGCAACTGGCTGCCTCTCTCCAGAAGCATTCCTCTGGCAGCTGTACTGATGCACTTCATGTGCCCATCATGAGCCAGAAACCGATCTGCTTCAGTGGAGCTTATCAAAGAAACGGGGAGCCTGCTGCCCACGCACAAATATTAACAATGGACTCAACGAGAATCTTCCAAAATTCCAGAAAATACAACTCAGGCTTTTGTTGTTGTTGTTGCCAGCAATGCCAGTTAATGCTTCTTTCCCCCTGCCCTCACAAGTTTGCCCAGCACAGAGAGAAAGAGGGGCTGTCTCCAAGACCTCTGCTGAGACAGGTGAAAGAAGCCAATATCCTTGTTCAACACAGCAGATTGCGTTAAGGGACTGGGGAGGGCGGGAAGATTGAGGATGATTACACACAAGCACACACAACGGTGTGACCATCTCTACCCAATGTGCCTTATCTACTGAGGGATGACCAAATCCAGCCTCCCGGAATTCAGTCCAGGAAACACCCCTGTTACTGGTGTGCACAAAGGCGTCTGATGCCAGAAAGTCGTGTGGTTTGGCATTGTGCCAGGTATCCAAAAAAACCTAAATACTAAATGAAAACCTTCTGATTACAGGTGTGTTTGTGCTCTAGGTTGCCAGCCTTGTAAACTAGCTTCTAGGTCTCCCTCCCTTCACCCCACCCCCCAAACAAACATGGAAAGGGGGGGGTGGCTGCAGCTGGGTGCTTTTCCCTCATCACCATTCCCTCTTCTTCCCTTCCCATATAACTTTAATTGAATCCAAGGCAAAGTATGCAAACGGTTTTTTAAACGCTGCCTGAAACACAACTGTGCTCCGCAGGCTTCCCGGGCTGTTTGCCTCCCATTCCCTTCAATCTGCCCCTTTGGATTTTATTCCAGGAAGCTCTTAATGATCCTTTTTTTTCTTTCAACCAAATGTGCAATAACTGAAGCTGCACAAGGCTGTTAGCCCTTAATTTCCCCTATGTAGGCATATGTGATAAAGAACATGCGGACCTCTGAAAGAGTCAAGTGGGAGAGGAACAGAATGCTAGGATGGGGTTGGGTGTGCTTTTTTTCCTTCAAACCCTCCCCCCCCTCTACTTTGGGCTCATTCCAAGCATCCCCCCCCCCTTCCTGCATTTACAAAATTAATGCAAGCAAAGCGGCTGATTGTTATACCCTCTCTGGCCAGTTAACATTTAGAGTGCACCACACAAGGGTAATTTTCCTTTCTTTTCTTTTTTTGTAAATGCAAACACCCCACGCCAACGTTCTTCAGCATGTCTTGCAGTCTGATCCTACGTATGTTTACTTGGAAGATAACCTCACTTAGATCCATGGCACTTACTTCCATGTTAAATGGGCGTAGTATTGCAAGCTTTTTTAAAAAACAAAAAACAAAAAACGAAACAACAGACATCAAAAGCCAGCCAGGACTGTCACTCAGCCTCAACTGGGTCACTTTTACACAAAGACGCAATGGCTCGCCACCGGAAGATCGCTCTGCTACCTTGCGAAGCTTGTGAATGACACGCCACATGATAGTGGAAATGAAGCATGGCAAAGATATGAAGATGAAGAGCGACGAAGCTGCACGACCCAACCGAAAGCTTCTTAATGAAAAGGGAGACTGTGCTCAAAATCCTAAAAGCAGAGGGGCACATTCCGTGGAATTTCCGCTCCGCCAGCTGCTTCTATTAGTACCACATCAGCAAGTCGGTACACAAGCAGGCGTGGGAATGTAGATCTAGAGACAGAGATGGTAGCAAAGAAAAGGTTAATGCGTGCGTGTGTGTCTCTCGGAATTCAAAGGCTCAGCTAAAACCACAGCTGTAGCAGCAGAGTCCCTCTGCCCAGCATCAGGACCCGACCCCCGCCTGCCACAAACACACATTGAGTCCATTACAGTTGCCTTTCCACAATTAGGGGGCTTGCTTCCCAGCCGGGGCCCTTTATCTAATTAGACAACCTGAGTTTTAGTCCATCGATTTTAGCCCGAGATAATTGGAAGGAGTGTAATTATCAGAAGCCTTCTCCACAGCGGAGGGGCTTCGGCTACAAGCGCCAGCGGACCCACAGACTCACCGCACCCCACTCCTCCTCCCCAGCGCGTTTGAACTTGAGCGGGGAGCGGGGAGCTGGATCCACGGGGGCTGGCTGGGGAGAGATAAAAATAAGCGCATCTCGGCGGTGTTTAAAGGAAAAGCATGCCAGCAGATTTATTCGTGGTCTGACTTCACGCGCAGAGAAAGATGTACAAGCATATGTGTGGGGTGAGTGGAGTGGGGGGCACGGGACCTCCTCCTCTCTGCCTCGCCCTCTCCAGGGCGCGCCAGATGCGTAGAAAGCAACAGTGAAGATGCTGGGCTCTAGTTGACCACTCCGTGGGCAAATGAAGTTTCCACTGCGGCCAAACGGTCCCTGCTGTCCTGTGATCTCACCCCACCACGCAAAAGGAGCTGCTGATCAGCTTCCACAAAGCAAGCAGCGGCAGCTCAATTCCTGCCTCTCACAGGCACACACACACAGAGAGATGTGCCAAGCCAGGTGGGCATCTTGCAACTACAGATGCCATACATGAACCTCACCTACTTTTTTTAAAAGCACTGCAGGAAAGGTGGGTTTATAATGCAAGCCCCTGGAACGCCACAAATGCCTGGCCCCTTCTCCCAACGCTCTTTGTTTTCACCAACACCAGAATCCACTGTCCTTTTACATAAACCTTTCTGAAGAAGACTCCTGAGAGATGGAGATCTGGAGGAAGGGACGACAAAGGGAAGGCATGCGGGGAGTGAGGCAGAGTGGAATGCTCCACCACCACCACCACGGGCAGAGAGGGTGATCTCCCAATATTAAGGAGAACAGGGAAGCACACACGCCCCAATGTACCCTTGTGGGACCAAAGTGCTACTCCTGCTGGGAAAAGGAAAACGAGGGGGTGAGAGAGGGAACAGGGAGCCTCCTCCTGCCATTGCTAGGAAGGCAGGGAATTTGTTTCTCTTGTTTGACAACGCTGCTGGTCAGAACAGCAGCCACGGAGCGAGCAGGCAGCGACCGTTTCAGGGCTTGCGGAGCCTTTCCAAGAAGCAAGATGGTTCTCTCGGGCGGTCAACGGGGTGCATCTCACGAAAGCGACACAGAGGCCACCACAGCTCCCAACGCGCTCCCAATCCTGAACCCAAGCAAGTTATCCGCAACAGACGCCTGCTGCACACACCCTCTCCCGCTGGCGGGTACCTTTTCCCTCCTCCCCGGAGGACTAAACTGTACAGACCGTCAGGCAGAGGAGCTTTGTCCCCCAAACAAGGGGGAGGAGCCTTCTTTCCCCACCTGCCCCTCCCAATATCCAGAGGGCTGGAGAAACCAGGCTGGCATTGGGGAGCCTCAGAAAAAGAGTGAAGGCTGCCCCCCCTTAAAGAATTCATCTTCTATCTCTGGCCACCTTTGCAAGCAAACTGAAGGGACATAGCGAGCAGCGCTACCCCTTTCAGCAGAGACTTGGGGGAGGAGGAAGGGAACTGGGTTAAAGCCACCCTCTCCCCGCGTGAAAGAGGCTGCAGCGCCCTCATCTTCCCTTTCTCCGCCTCTGCCGAGGGGGTGTGTCTTCCCCTTCCCCTCAGGTGCATTGATGGGTTCCTACTCCAACAGTCCTAGCGATCGCCCAAAGCCGGTCTCCTCTCCCTCCGGCCATCGAGGGCGGCTGGCTCCCTCCTCCTTCATGCCCTCCTCGGTCCCTTGCGCTTCTCTCTCTTTGCCCTATGATTCTCCCAACCGACAGCGAGAGAGCAGGCGCACAAAACCTCCGAAAGATCCCCGGTACTCAACGCCAACAAAACCACTAGATCGCAACCCCCCGCGACACCACAAATGGCAACAGGATTACTGCGCCTTTTTTGCCAAGCAGGCGCCTATACATAGGCTGTGGCTTCGCCAAGACAGGTGATCGCTGGCTTCCCCAAATCTCCGTGCAGGCAAGGGAATTCATTCCTCTCCTCCGCCCTTTCCTAATCATCGGGGAGGGGGCAGAGAGAACCCCCAGCAACTAAGCCCCCTCCATGGGTGCTTCTTATCCAGAGTCCACTCGCACCCCGCCGCCACGTGTGCGCGCCACCCTCTTTCCAGGTGGCCACAGCCGAGGTGCTCCCCGTCGAGGCTCTCAACCCCCTCGTCCGTCCCTCCCTCCGCCGCCCAGCCACCCGGGAACCCACCGTGTCCGCCTCGTAAGGAAGCCGGGGACCTGTAGATCGCGATAGGCACGGACGGGTGCTTGCTGCTGCTGCCATGGAAATGGTGGATGTGCGGCGCCCCTAAACTGGAGGCGCCCCACGCCACCCCGAGGAGGCCGCTGAGAGTCAACGGGAGTATCCAGAGCAGGGCCAGGCGGCCTCGCGACGACGGCGCGGGTTCGGAGAGGGCCAGCTCCCCCATCCGTGGGGGCATAGCGGGGCGGGGGTGTCCCCCCACCCCAGCGCGGCGGCAGCAGCCAGGCAAACTTTGGGCGAGGGAGCCGCGCGCGGGCGTCTCACCGCACCAAGCGGCGCGTCGCCGGAGCGGGCGCTTCTGCCGGGCGCCGATCCCTCGCCCGGAGTCCCGTCTTGCCCCGGAGAGGCCCCACCATCCTTCAGAGGCGGCCGAGGAGCGCCGCCGGGTCCCCCAGGCAAAGGAATCGCGGCGGGGACGGCCCCGAGGAGCCTCCAGCGCTCATTCACGCGGTAGCTCCACTAGCAAGCGACGCTCCGGGGGGTCTCTTCCATAATCCACAAAGCCGGCGTCGGTCGACGGGGCGGGGGGCCGACGGGGCGCGCACGGGGCGCCGGATCCCCGACGAAGAGCGGCGGCGGCGGCGGCCGCGGGGGGCAATCCATTCAGCGGAGCGAGCCACGAGCGCTTCCCTCGCCAAAGGCGCGCCAAGAACGCACGAGGCAGCGGCGGCAGCAGCTCCCCCGGCGAGCTCCCTCTCGCTCCCCGCTCTCTGTCTATTGCCAGCGAGACGGCGGCGAAGCAGGGGGACGCGGCGAGGCGGAGGAGGAGGAGGAGGACGGCGGCGGCGGGCAGGAGGCGGCTTTGCAGCGAGCATCCATTGCCCGCGTCTGCACTGAGCCAGCGCGGCGAGGGGGGCGGGCGAGAGCGAGCGCGGAGCGAGCCACGCGGGCTGGCGGCGGAGGAGGCGAGGCGAGCGAGCGCTATGCAAATCTGCAGTCTCCCCACAGCAAATCACCGGCGCCGGCATGCAATGCAGAGGACCGGCCGAGGGGGGAGCAAGGAAGCGGCGCCGGCGGCACCTGATGCCCCTGCGCTCGGGAGGGCTCCGCCACAGAAGCAGCAGCGAGCCATGTGGCAGCCGGGCGCTGTGGCGCGCGCACGGGCTGGGGGGCGCCGTAGTCGGCTGGGTACTTTGGGGGGGGGGGGGGGAGAGACCAAGACAGGGAGTCCGATTTCCGGGGGCAAAGGATGGGGTGCGGGATCTGTGGAGGCTGCAAAGCTCCAGATATTTGGGGTTGGAAAAAATGCCGGACCTGTGTTCAAAGGCTAGTCCATCGAGGAGAGTTTAGCCGGAGTGGGGAGGCCAGTGGTCATCAAGGCGCCTTTTAAGGAGCAAAGGCGATCCGGTGAAGATACGGAAAACTCTCTGTTCTGCTATGATGAAGATGTTGATGTTTGGCTATACAGTGGTACCTCGGGTTACATACGCTTCAGGTTACATACGCTTCAGGTTACTGACCCCGCTAACCCAGAAATAGTGCTTCAGGTTAAGAACTTTGCTTCAGGATGAGAACAGAAATTGTGCTCCGGCGGCGCAGTGGCAGCGGGAGGCCCCATTAACTAAAGTGGTGCTTCAGGTTAAGAACAGTTTCAGGTTAAGAACGGACCTTCAGAACGAATTAAGTACTTAACCCGAGGTACCACTGTAATTATCTCTATAATCCTTGTTTATTTATATGGTGTCATAAGTGTGCATATAGTTGGCTTCCTGCCCCAAGAAGTATGAAATTCGACGGGAAGATAGTAAGAAGGAGGGTGAGATGTGGTTGTTTTGTTACACCTGTTTAGGCATCATTACAGGGCTCAGTACTTTCTACACCATGGTTTCCAAAACTTGGGCATTCAGCTGTTTTTGAACTACGATTCCCATCATCCCTAGCTGGCAGGACTAGTGGTCATGGAAGATGGGAACTGTAGTCCAAAAACCAGCTACTCACAGAGGTTCTCCAAGGTTTCCAACTTGCCTCTCTCGGGGCTCTCCTTGGATGCACTGAGCTGATCATGTGCTCTGCCACTGAATTAAGGACCTTCCCCAAAGGATTCCCTCCATTGCCTGAATATGCATATGGGACTGCTGCACCATTCACACATGCATTGTCCCTGCTTGGTGACTTCCAGATCCACAAGCAAAGTCTTGCATGTAGAATGGGCCACGGCAGCGACAGCATCACTGCAAAAAACTTGCTTTGTACCATCCCCAAACGGAATGCTTCGTGATGGAGCCACTTTGCGCACTCAGCTGCCAATTGCCAAAATAAAGTGAAGTATATGCACGTGTAAGCCAGCCCTAATGCCGCATGCAGGAGGTTCCAAACCCACATCTCACAATCTCAACTATCAACACATTTCCTAACGGTAAATTTTAAGGAAGGGGTTTTGCAGCGCTGAAACCCTGCTGAAAATTTTCCTCTTTGTTTTAGCAACACTACAACATTGCTAAAACAAAGGAAGGTGGAGTGTTTACCTTAGCAGTGGTTTCAGTGCAAACCTCTTGAGGATGAAATTTTAGCAGCACCTGGGTGTCTGAGTGGTACCCAATTTCAGGTCTTTAAAGCGCCAAATTGCCTGGCATCATTGTCAAATTTGGCCCTTGCTTGAACCTCAAAAGGATCTGGCATGTGGAGTCCAAAAGGTCCCTCACTCCTGCTACGAACCATAAACAAACATTAAAAGATCTACGAAGGTGAAGGTGTGATGTCGCTTTTGGTGGTGTCCTCCTGAGACTTATTTTCAAATTCCTGCTTCATCATGAAACTCTCCAGTGACTATGCACCAAGCACTATCACACAAGAGCCTGGCAGGATGGTTGGTCAGGAGAAAACAGGGTAATGCTTTTGAACACTTTAGAATGTGTGAAGCATTTTGCCTTCATGATTTCATCCATTCCTACCACAATCCTGTAGGGCAGGTCATTCTTTGTGCCCCATTTTGGGGGGTGGGAGAAGTTGAGGAAGAGTCATGATTTGAATCGGTGACCTCCGGGTTGTTTTGTTTTGTTTTAATGGTTATTAAGGGTCCTTAAAGTAAGAGCAAGGTATTTCAAAAACTAAAAATCATTCTGGAAAGCTTTGCAGAAATAATAACTCAAACAAACATAAATTCCTAAGAGCAAGACACCCTTAAAGGGGGGAGGGCAATGCTAGAGTTCTATTCAAAGAACTGTCAGAGACCAACAAAGGATATCCCCACTTGTAATTGAATGCTATATACTTCAAAAGCAGCTACCTGTTACAGACACAAAGCCCTGGCAGTTCCCACACCTGGGCACAACAAAGTGTGCTAAACACTAACGTTCAGTTTTCTTTGTTCCAGCATTTCTAGATCAAACAACATTTTCTGCCATTGTATGTTTTTTTTGGGGGGGGGGCAAGATTTAGTAATTCGGTCTCAAGCCGGTGCGCTTTGGTCGACAAGAAAATTGAAAAGTAATGCGTACACTTCTGCCCCTGTGTTTTATAGAAGCAGATTATTTAATGCTACCCACATCTAAACTTGACAGTTTGCTTATGCTAAAAAGCTGCTCTTAATTACACACGGGGCAAAGGTAACCACAGCAGTCCAACTGGAAAAAGTTTAAGAGAGAAGCAAAAAAACCTATCTCTCAACCTGTCACTCATACACATTTGACAGGGGTGCAGGCCCCCTTGGGAAGTGGTGGACTTTCATTCCTTAGAGGTTTTTAAGCAGGCATTGGTTGGCCACCTTTCATGGTTGCTTTACTTGAGATTTCTGCATTGCAGGGGGTTGGACTAGATGACCCTCAGGGTCCCTTCCAATGCTGCAATTCTACTACAGTCATACCTCGGGTTACAGACCCTTCAGGTTGTGTTTTTTGGGGTTATGGGTGCGCCGAAACCTGGAAGTACCGGAACGGGTTACTTCTGGGTTTCGGTGGTCATGCATGCGCAGAAGCACTAAATTGTGCTTTGCGCATGTGCAGAGGCGCCAAATGGCAACCTGTGTGTGCGCAGACGCAGCACTGTGGGTTGTGAACGTGCCTCCTGCATGGATCATGTTCACAACCCAAGCGTCCACTGTATTCTATATCCTGAATCAAGTCTATATAGCAGAGAGGGCCGCATAGGACACACCCAAGGGCTTTTGTGTAGATGTTAAACAGCAGGATTTGTTCAAAATCTGCATGAATATCAAAGGCGCAATTCATATATACAGGCGGCGACAATTTTAGGTGCATCCAACTGACATGCAATCACTGAGTCACAGGTCCTTTGGGACATGGAAAAAGGCAGAATGGGTGCGGGGTGGAACAGGGGGGGCATAACTGGGCAGGGCATGCACACAGGGACCAGGAACCGAACCCCCATGAAAAATTGACCCTGCATGTATTTCAATAACAACCCATTGACACCCCCCCCCAGCCTGTCATTTGCTTAAATTTTAAGTGGTTGAATAATAAGTTACCCAGTGCATTGAAAGAGGCTTAAGAACTTGGGGGCTCCCAAGCAGCTTTTCATCCTAGCAGGGATACTATTCTGGGATGGTAGTAGGACAATCCCTGCCCCCACCTTCACCAACAGACACACATGGATGTTTCGGACCCCCATCAGGAGCTAACCCACATAAGAACACAAGGAAAGCCTGCTGGATCAGGCCAATGACCCAGCTAGTCCACCATCCTGCACTGGCTCCCGGTGGAGTATCGGGTCAGGTTTAAGGTGC